AACTCTTCTCTCCCTTCTTTTAGACCTTTCTGACCCTACAGCAGAGAAAGGAACTACTGCCAAGACCTCCGAAGAACTATTACAATTATTTGGTGCCACATAAGGGTTCTGATCATCAGCTGCACCATTTAAAATCACTTCCCTTCCACCTTCCATATTTATTGAAGGAGGCTGCAAATCCTTTCTCACCGGAATACCTTTGTGTTTATTCTCAAACCAGTTAATTCTCACCCTCGACCTGGTATAATGTCTTTTATAGCTGGCCATTCTCCTCCTCTCTATGGGCAAACTTTTGGGCCAAAATGTTCTTCTATGCTGGAACAACGATCTGTCTCTATCCCTAATCAGTTCAGTTCCAACCCCCCTACAATCGTCCTTTTCCAAGACTACTACTTCCTCTAACAGATCCTTATTTGGCTTATTTGAGATCCCTTCAGATTGAGACTGTACTCTATTGAACCCACCCTCAATCGAAATATGTTTGTAACCTGACAAATCAGTATTCGAATTCTGCATTTTTGAGTCTACCAAAACAGAATGCTGAAACTCTCCTTGAACCTCCATCCTACTTAATTTAACATCATGCCCCCCTGGAATTAGATTATTAGCTGGTGAATCATACTCCCTGTTAGATTGTGAAGACCCAGCAGGCAACAAATTTGGATTTAAGTCTGCCGAGACATTAGCCCAATTCTGCACCTTTATTTTATCTGAATCAGATTGCTGCTGAGAACCTGCAAATTCCACCCGAGACTCCAAACGGTTACCATATCCCAGTTTTAATAAATTAACAGCTGGCCCAGAAGGTACTATTCTGTAGATATTTGTATTGGACTCACTTGAGCCCTCTAAATGGGCTTCTTCAAATTCATTAATAGAGACATTCCTTAGACCAAGGCCCCTATAGTCCTCTTTAAAATTCAAATCTTCTGCAGAAAAACCTGACACCTTAGCACCACTAGGTTGACTTTCTCCTTCCTGCAGTATTAAATGTTTACTTCCACTGCCTCCTGCCACTGTTGTGCAGACATCACCTACCAACCATCTGTCTACTGTGTCCCTAGAATTCTCAGCTGGCAATTGTGGGCTACCTACTCCACCTGAACTCCGGACTTCTTTCTCTTCCGATGAAGAATCAACTCTAGACACACCATCTCCGGCCACCTGAAGAATTTCTGCAAAAAAACTCTCCTGTTTATAACTGACCGATCCCACACTAATCTTAACCTTATACGATCTCCCATATGCACCCAAGGTAACAGAATCCTGTATATCATAAGGACTCGCCACCCTCAACAAAGCTCTTGCCACCGCCAAATCCTCTCTTCTGATCGTGGACTCATGAATACACACCAATTTCCCCCACCTTGAGACCAGCTTTTCCAAAAAAGATCCATTACAACATAGTAAAGGGATTCCATGCAACTCCACTGAACAGAAAGCCATCGGGACTCCATCTACACTCATAAGTGGATCAAGCCAGTCGAACCAAAGTGACACTTCATCCCTTCTGTTTTTCCACGCCTCCTCGAACTCTTCCTTCGACCCAAAGGTTATAATGCAAGAGTTCCAGGTATAACCCCATTTAGTTCCCTTGACCTTGATCCCTTTACTAGCCAACCCCTTCACTACTGTCCCCAGATCAAAATGGGATTTAATGATCCCAGTTATTGATCTTTTCACCCAATCATATTCGTCTGGGGGAATATGCATTTCCCACAAATTCCTCACCCCTACTTCCTTGTCTTTATGGCCTTCCCAAATCACTTTAGACGCCGGACCTTCTCTCCTTCCATCCAAAGACGCTAACGCCTCCTTGTAAGATCTCTCATCTCTCAGTCGGCTATAAGATTCTGGTCCAGCTCTTCTACTCCGATGCGTATCCTTTTCCCACTTATCAACTTCCTTACTGTCGTTACTTCTAACAGCCTGCTTTAGTCTCTTCTTCTGGTACTTAGCAACTCCTACTGATATTTTCTTACCATCAATCCAGATACCATTAATTTTTGCTATCGCCCTCAACAACCCATCCTCATTAGCAAACTGGACGAAAGCAAACGTATAATTTCTATAATTCGGCTTGTTGGAATTATTCGGAATGTAGACACGAACAACACTCCCCTGTTGATGAAAAATTTCCTTAAGAGTTTTCCTAGTTACCCTTTTACTCAGATTGTCAACGAAAACCGTCCACTCCTCACCGGAAAACTGACCAACTGAAAACCTCTCTCTCTCTCCCACTTTCTCCCTGACACTCTCTCTCATCTTACTGATTATTCTATAACTTAATTTTTTTATTTAGCAAAGCCGTATACTAGGATTCTTATTCTTTCCAAATAAGAGTGAATCAAACATACCAGCTTGGAACAGCTCTATAAATAAGAGGTGTATAAGATCTCCAACAAAAAGGGTAGGAATGTGTAAAGGTTCCATGCTTAACAAGCGTGCCTTTTGCCTGAGAAATAAACGATGAGATCGGTGAAGTTATGGAGAAAGAAAAGTGCATAAAACCTAGTAAGAAACAAATCTTGGGAAATGTCAACAAGATTCTTTCTTCTTTTTTTGGCTCATAATGGTATTACAACCATCAACAATAGCTTTATATGTGCCTGAGAAATAAACGATGAGATTCTCGTCCTACATGCCAAAAATAGATAAATGAATAGTAAAAGAAGTACAAAGAAGGATGATATTAATCTGAAAGGTAAAACATAAAAAAAATGGAAATTAATTCAAATCACATAAAAGTGCAAACAAATATGGTGAATAAAAGAAATGAAGCCAATGCTTTGATTTATACACTAAATTTTCAAAAACAAAATAAACAACAAGATGCATTTGTAATAAAGGAAAACAACAGGAGAAAGAGCATCAGAAAATATAATCAAATTGAAGAGGGAAGTTTAAGCAGCAGCATTCCTGCCAGAAGGACACAAATCCCTTGAAAGTTAAGTTACATTTGTGATAGATAGATAGAAATTGTAAGCTGCAGCACTCTCTAATTATCTCTAAAACTGAACCTTTCTTAGGCATGAGACTTAGACACTTATTAATAAATGAGTTAATCCTATACTTCAAGATCAAAATCCGGACAAAGAGGGGATACAATACGTTTAGAGTCCAAGAAAATAGAAAATTGTTTAAGAATGAAATCTTATTGGTTCTGGCCAGTTCATACTTCTGAACCATATCACATCTCAAGTCTGATGCAATAGGATGAATTGGAAAGGTTTTTGAATATGCAATAGGATATGAATCCATACGAAGTTTGGACCATCTATGAGAGAGAAAATAATGAATGGATCTTGTAGGATTCCCAATGAATTCTTCAATTTCTTTCGGAAGAAAATGTTATTCACCCGTCTCTCATGTTCCATGGATAACCAGGGCATAAAGTTCATAACAGAAAAGTATTAATTTTGCAAAAACCATCAATCAAGAACATTACCGAGGCATGAAAGCCAAATGAAAAATCCGAAATATACATCAAAATATAAGACTAAACAAACATAATAGCTGGAGTAAATACACTCAGATAAATTACTCAAGAGCAAACCTTAATGATTATTTGATTTTCAGTACAAACACGGTAGTCATCTTCACCAAATGCAGGAGCACAGTTTACAATTCCAGGACCACTATCATCTTTCACATAATTGTCAGCTATTACCGTAAAAGCAACATCTGAAAACTCCAAGAAGTAGTTGAACAATGGTTCATACCTGCAACACATGTTCCCTCTTAGTATCCTACTACAAAGAAGCTGCATTGGCTCAAACCAATTTAAATACCACAAAAGACAGTAATGAATTTTAATGTTCTCTAGAACATTAGAACTGGCAGCCAAATATCGATCGCTGGCTCTGCAGCTTTTATATATTCCACTTAATGCTGCACGTGCTGCATTTCATTCCTACTTATGAAGACCAATTGCTATATAATATAGCATACTAGAGATCACCCAGACAGGGATCCTTAACGTATGAACCAAGGTGCCTAAAGCTAGATATCACCGCTTAATAATTCCCAGAAGAACTGCTTGGATGCAGACAGTACAAAGTTTCTTTTATAGTCGGCTACAACCAAAAACAGAACTATAAATATGAATACTTACTTTTTCCCCACTAATGAAAGCCCCAGAAAATTTTTCTAAGACCTCAAAGGAATCAGCTGCAGAATCTTTTGTCTTTTCACCAGAAGTTCCTTTGCTCTTAGATTTCTTGGAATCACCAGAAGATTCATTAGACGAATTTGACTTTGGTTTCTCAGTTGGAAGCGCAGACAACCTTGACTCAGCAACCACGTAGATTTTTCCAGAGTACTTATTTAGAACCTGAAATATAATTACAAAACCCATGTCTTTAGGAAGAAAGTCATATCTACGTCTTGCGTTCAGGCATGCCTTAAAAATAAAAGATGCAACTATATATTCCCCATGCATCAACCAATAAAGTTCTAGGAAAAGGAAAAACTATTCATGCACTTCAATATTATGATCCCACTCCTTTTGTAAAAGCTCCATCTGTTTGAATGGAAGAGCTATTTAAAAACTTCAAAATCTAATACATGAAAGACAAATAATTTTAAACAACAAACGAAAAACCATAAACTATTAAGCTCAAAACCCCAAAATTATAGTAAAAATTCTTAAAAGATGCACTTTGTCAATTGCCTTTCAAAATTTTTTTATAAGACGTATTTGAAGAGCACATGTTTTCTTCTTACGTAATACAAATAAATGCTATTTTAATAAATAATTAGAAATTAATGTTATTTCAAGTTTTAATTAATAAGAATTATATTTCGAGTTTTAATTAATAAAAATAATATATAGGTGCTAAAGCTAAGAGTATCAACATACCATTACTATAAGGTAAAGGATTTAGAGAAATCTTAATAATGTTACACATAAAATTCACATCAAACAGGGAAACGAAAGATTCTCATAAAACATAAATTTTGTTTTTTTATTAAGCAGAGATAAATTACATTTTTAAGATAAATGACAAGATTCAGCTCCACACAAGATGAGACAATATAAATATCGTTGACCACTTAATCTCGAAACTTTGCTTAGAAAATACAAATTTTATCATTATTGAGCTGTCGATGAGATAGTCTCAGATTCTGGAAATTGCAAGCTTGATTAGCTCCCTCCTAAGAATCTTCCCAGATGGGTTCTTGGGTATTGAAGTTACAAATGCCACTTTCCGGATTCTCTTGTATGGTGCTACCTGTTTTTGTTAATTAACACCTTTATCTAAATCATCATATCCTTCTTCAATCTTTCGACAATACAATATATATAATTGCTTACCTGTTTTGATATAAAATCAATGACTTCAGCCTCTGATATATTGCAACTACTTTTTCTGATCACATACGCCATGGGATATTCCCCAACCTCTTCATCAGGAAACCTAATAACAATATATGAAGAAATAAAACAATTTTTATGCATTTTGCATCGTAAAATGGTGTTGTTGGGTTTAGGGAACTAGCATTGAATAGAAAAATTCAAATTTTTTTATTTAATTTAACGTTAAAATATTGGACTCCTAATTTTATAAACTAGACTCAACTTAAAATTTTTTAAATAAACTTTGAGTTTTATAATAAGACTCGAATTTTTTAATAATTAATAGATTGATTTACAAGTTCGAGTCGAATATCTCAACTCTGCATGTATATGAATATCACATATGAAAAAATACGAAGAAATATATATATATACATATGCATATTGTATATGGTTATAAAACAATCGATTACCATAATTACATAATATTATAAACATTTACGATTAAATTTAAACAAAAATTTAAATAAATCGATTATATTTTTTAAAATAAAACTTGAGTTATGAAATAAGCTGATCAATCAACTACCTACAAAAAATTTACTTGACTCGACCCAATATTTCAACCTAGTTGTGTCAATGGGAATGACCTAAATGTACGTTAAACTTACGGTATAACAGCAGCATCAGAAATGTGGGGGTGAGAAAGAAGCAAAGCCTCAAGTTCAGCAGGAGGAACCTAAAACAATATAAACAAAGACATTACAGCATGTAAATGAAATTAGTTTTGACTTGTAAAGAAGAAGATGAAACTGTTTAAACACCTGAAATCCCTTGTATTTGATAAGCTCCTTCAACCTATCGACAAGGTGAAGGAAGCCATCATCGTCGATGTAGCAAAGATCACCTGTTTTCAACCATCCTTCTGAATCAACCGTTGCTGCTGTCGCTTCTGCATTGTTGAGATACCCTAAAATGGCAGCAGTCCCATTAATCAATGTATTTTTTTTTTTAAAAAAAGTGCCTTTCATAACTGAAGAAAGACGAAATTTCCATCAATAAATGATGTACCTTTCATAATGGAGGGCCCCCTTAGCCAAAGTTCACCTCTCTGATTGACCTTCAAGGCGTTCCCCGTTTCAGGATCCACAATTTTGGCTTCCAAGCTCGGCGACAACAGCCCTACGCTGTCGTACTTCCGGCTCTCCTCCTCTGTAAGCATTGAAGCTCCAAACCCTGTTGCCTCTGTTAAAGCGTACCCCTGACGAATATCTACCGTAGGAAACTTCTCTAAAAACCTATCTATCAAATCCTTGCTCAGCGGAGCGCCGCCGCACACGAGAGTTTGCAGCGAACTCAAATCGTACTTCTTTCGTATCTCATCAGCATCCTTCACCAACGCCAAGAGTATAGGTGGCACGAGTGGAAGGCAAGTGGCACGGTATTTCTCAACCGCCGACAGCATTTCGTTCATGTCGAACTTCGATAAAATCACGACTTTGGTTCCGTTCCCGAGCTTCCCGATGGCGAAAGCTCCGAATCCATATATGTGGAACATGGGAACGGTGCAGATATGGATTTCCTCTGGAGTACTCAAGCCTGAATATGCTTGCACTAGAGCTATGAGGTTTCTGTGAGATGATATCACACCTTTACTGGCACCCGTCGTGCCCGACGAATACAGTAGAGTCGCCGCGTCATCCTGGTACACTCGGTCCCTTACTCGGATCTGATCCGTTGTTCCCTTCTTCATCATTTTGTCAATAGTAGTAACTATTTCAACTTGGCCGGTGGCTTCAGTCGTCACCGGCTCATCGTCAACAAGTACGACGGGGATAGACGATCCAGCCAGCTTCGGGACGAGTTGACCGGTGGTGAAGACAAGGACGGGCTTTGAATCGTCCATTTGTAACGATATTTCACGAGGCGTATTGAGAGGGTTGCCGGTGGTTATAATAGCTCCAATATGCATCACAGAGAGGCAAACGACGGGGAAGAAGATGGAATTCGGTGCGATGATTAGAACGACGTCGCCTCTCCGTATGCCCAAACCCGATAAACACGTGGAAACGGAATCAACCGCTTCCCAAAGTTCGGAAAACGAGAGTTGGCGGCCGGAAGTGGCTTCGACGAAGGCGGTTTTGCCGTGGTGAGGATAAGATGAAAGAAATGTAGTGATGTCGAGGGAGCGGTTGGATGGAAGTGGAACTGGAGTGCGTTTGCTGTAGAAAGTATAATTTGAAGAACAAAACCCGCTTCTGGGATCGATTGCTAAGCTGCTAATTTCGGCCATAATAATGGTTTGATTGAGTTCTTCTTCTCTCCTACAGTTGCTACTTCTTTGATAACAGCAGTGTACTGAGAGCATCTGTTTCGAATTGTATTAGTATTTTCTGGGAAACGGACAATTGTGCATCGGTGATAGCACTTGGGAAATGGAAAGTGAGCTCAATCTTTCTGCCCCACTTCGTTTATTATTATTAGCTTACTACCAACGATGTATGGCAGTATGGAAGGCGTTTTTACCAAAATAATCACCCTCAGACCTATACGGAACGCGCGCATATATGAAACGCGTAGTTCATGAGAAATATTGGCATAACACCATGGAAGAAGTACGTTTCAAGATATATATGCCTTTCAAAATACACATCATTCTTTAAAGTATTTAAAAAAATATATTTTAAAAAATTTTAAAAATAAAATTATATAGACTAATATTATAATTTAATACATATTAATTTTTTATGAGTTGAAGAGTTTAATGAAATTAATTTATATATACATATTATAGTGTTTAGGTTATCTTTCTTGACAATATGAAATAAAAGTTAAAAGGTATATTCTTTAATTTTTTTTATCTTTATATCTAATAAATCTACTTATACATTATTGTTAACTCCTTCGGGATCTCCCATTTAAAATTGTTGAAGCTCATGTACCTAATCAATTTTTTTGTTAGTAGAAAGCAACAATCTTGATTGTCATAACGTGAAAAAAATACTTCAAGGTGATTCTTACAGAAGTTTTGACTCTTAAGCTCATCAATTTTAGAAAGAATAACATCTTGTAGCTTATTTCATCTCAAATTATTACAGCAAAAACATATAATTAAATAAATTACATGAAAATTACCCATTATCTCATAATCTAGATTTAAAACAAAAGAACATACAATATTTTAAGGCGTTTGAGCCGCTCGAATATAATTAATCTTATATTCGATCTTACATGAGTATATTGTTCCCCTCTTATATATATTAGCTTCAAATTTTAGTTTAGTATAAATCTTAATAATAAATATTAACATAATGTAATTATTTAAATGCATTAACAGATAAAAAAATATAATCTTAATTAATATAAACCTTAATAATAAATATTAATCTAATATAATTTAATAATATTGTATAAGTAGATTCGTTAGGTATAAAGATCAAAAAGTATACACTTTTTAGCTTTTATCTCACATTGTCAAGAAACATAACATCAATACTCCAATATACCTATATAAGTTAACTCCATTAAGCTCTTTAACTCATAGAACGAATATGTATTAAATTATGATGTTTGTCCCTATAGTTTAATTTTCTAATTTTTTTAAAGTATATATTTTTTAAAATACTTTGAGGGATGATGTGAACTTTGGAAGGTGTGTATTTTGAAACACACCTTCTCTTGTGGTGCCATGTCAACATTTTCCATAAAATGTGCACTGTATTATCTTGTATATGTCAGAAGTTCAGCGAATGCACGTATGATAATCCATGTCTTTGGTGGTTAAAAATGCTTGAATTATATCAAAATTTTATAAAATTTGCATTAGATTTTTAAGGTCTAATGAAAAGTAAAAAGTTAATTTTTTTAAGGTCTAATGAAAAAGATCAAGTAAAAACGAAGATGAGGAGTTGGGAATATGTTGAATTATGAGATGGCAAAGAATTAAAGTCTGATAATGCATTATTAAATCCGCGTGCAGGACCTTTGCATTATCAAACAGACAAACACGAAGATATAAAATTTTATAATTAAATTAATTATTATGTTAGTTTTATTAATTGTTGTCTCATCTGTCATTAGACTTTTAATAGAAAAAATATTACTATTGTTTAACTTAAGCGATTATTTTATATTTTTTATGATCGAGGGACCTAATAAAAACATCTTATGATTTCTCTATCATTTGTATATTTTATTCGAACTATTTTTATTAAATAAATATGAATAATGGGAGTCGTTGAACATTTTCAAGTTTATGAATTGTGGGAGTGGTTGATCTGTTGAAGATTTTCCGTGGGACTTGTCATCATATTTGAAGTTTTATTGCAATTAAATTAATGAATTAATAAAAAAATAATTTTATTAAAAATATTACATTTATTTATGATGATTTTTTATAAAGGAGGTTTTAACATTGTCACGTGTTTTATATAAAATTCAATAATTAAAATTTTAAAGGTTGGGTTTAAGAACTAGAATTTGGAGTTTATAGATTAGGAATTAGAATTTAAGGTCCTTAAATAAATTAAATAACAATATTAAAATCTCACTTGTGAAAAAAATAGGGTAAATAATACAAAATGATCACTCTGATTATAGGGTGTTATTTTGTTGAGTCCTCAAACAATTAAAAATTACAAAATGGTCACCGACTATTCATATATTCTAAACTCGTCATTTTTCTTTAAAAATGGACGGTCTTCTGAGTTTGACGTTAACTTAATGACTAAAATATAATAAAATCTGATCCCATAATCGTTTGAGTTATATTTTGTGGATCAGATATCCATTTACATTATGTCGTCGAACGAGTGCTTGGAACATTATGTTGTCGAGTCAGTGCTTGAAAGCAACAACGATGCCAATAGACATCATTTAAATATGATTTTATTATATCTCAATCAACACGTTAACGTCCAACTCATATGGGAATCATTTTTTAACAAAAAGGACAAATTTAGAACATATGAATAGTCGAATGATCATTTCATAAATAGTCAGGGGACTCAACAAATCATTGCCCTAAAATTAGATGATCATTTTATTACTTTTAATAATCAAGTGACTCAATAAAATAATATAATATAGTCAGAATTATTTGTATATTTTACCCAAAAAAAAAAATTCATCATTAATACATAAAATAAAGACTGGTACTTTCTTTTTTCTGGTATATATAACATACAAAAGATCAACTATAGTTGTTGGACGATATCCTTTAACACCATCGCTATCAACTTTAATGGATGCTCGTTAAAAACCCATTTACCTATAAGTTTATTATGACTCAATTTGATTAGTGCACCCGCAATGGTATTCTACTCTCTAGAAACATGATTGATCTTCACTTCCCAATCAAAAAAATAATAAAACCTCAATACCCATTGTTTCGATCTTCATTCTTATTATGTATAAACTGTTAAGGATCTGAACCACCTGCAAATTATATGATTCAATCTTCATTTTTATTATGTATAAACTGTAAATTTAATATTTAATTATTATAGTCTTTGTATTTTTAAAATTTTAAATTGTAATTTTATCCTGATAATAATTAAATAAATTTTATTAAATTTTATTATTAGTGTCTATATCATTAGTTAGTTATAAATTTAATTGTCTATATCATTAGTTATAATTATTGTAGTCTTTGTATTTTTTTTTAAATTGTAATTTTTATCAGGATAATAATTAATAAATTTTATTATTAGTGTCTATATCATTAGTTATAATTTTAAATCATACAATTTAATTATATTGTCTATATATTGTTTAAATCAATATATAAATTAAAAAGATTTACAATATAAATATTTATTAACAATAGCCCTATTTTTTTCTATTTTTATTTAATCACGTTAGTTTTTTTCTTTTTCTTCATCTATGTGATTGGCGACGCAACCGGTCTTGGTGTTGGTCGTTGACCGTCCATATTCATTGTTTTTCCTTTACTTATTACAATGTATATTTGTTTTTTTCCTTGTTTTTCATTTTTAATAATTCTACCTGTATGACACATTTTTTCTGTCTTTATGACATATTTTTCTTTGTCTTTATGACACAATTTTATTTATCTTTATGACACATTTTCGTTCATTTGGATGTTGTTTTCATTTTTTTTAGGGTTAGATTTGACATCGATACAACTTATCAAGATGACGCTTATTTGTTATCATGTTGATCTTCCCTTCTTTGGACCATCGGATTAGATTTGAATGTGCGATTTGCATTTATGAATAGTATTTTCACGTCGCTCGATTCTAATTTACAGTTAATCAGTGGTCTTTCAATAGCTCAATATTCTTTTACGATTTATTTGTCGATACTGTTAGATTTATTCGTATCTATATTTTGTTCGATTTTATTTGGTTAGGTTTTTTAATCTTTTCGATCCTTATGAATATTTAGTAGTTAGTTTTCTTATACTTAAGAAAATATTTTTATTATATGTTTAGTCTACGGTTGTGGTTATAAATCTTTATTGTAATTTTGATATTTTTTATTTTTAATCAAACTAATAATTTCTTTTAAAATATAAAATTAATTAAATGATAATATAAATATTAAGTTTACCATTTAATATAAATACCGAATATAAAATATTAAAAATCTGTTTTATTGAAACTTTCAAGAATCAAATCTCCAGTCTTTTTCTAAAAGATTTTTCAACCTGCTTTACTTGTAAAGTCGCAAACATTATGATCATTTTAATAATTTCATTTTCAGAATATCGACACAATTGAACAATAAAAATATTATCTAAATCCCTCCCCGTTTCATCCGTTCTTCGATCCACTCATCAGGAACGGGCCTACATTATAAATAAATAAGTGATCGCTAGTTTTAAAATAGGGTAAAATATACAAATGGTCCCCAATTATAGATGTTATTTTATTAAGTCTATCAACTATTAAAAATTATAAAATGGTTATTCAATTATAGGGCGTCACTTTGTTGAGTCCTCCGATTATTAAAAGTTATAAAATAGTAAATCAACTATTTATGTGTTTCAAACTCATTTTTTTTGATAAAAATTAATTAACGACAATCTGAGCTAGGGGTGAGTATTCGATCGAGTCGAGTCAAAAAATTTTGAGTTGACGATTCATATTTTATGACTCAAACTTAACTTGAAAATTTTTCGAGTTTAGTTGAATTGTTCGAGTTTCTATACAAATTTAATTGTAATTATTTATAGTATTACAATATAGTTTTGTTCCTAATTGTTTTTACTTTCTCTAACCATATAAGATATATATATTTCTTCATATTCTTTTCACATTATAATGTTACTTAATATATCATATACAATCTAAAATTATAAAATATATTTATAATATTATATTTCAAAGAATGTATTTTGAGGATAAAAGATTGATGAAAGAGAGTACATTTTTAGTAAAAAAAATAAGAATTGAAGTTACATATGTATTCTATAGTGGTAAGAGAGCATGTGGTTTAAATTTGGTCAAAAACGTACTTAAAATGAAGGATGAATCGAAGAAATACGGAAATCATGCAAAATTGATGAACTAAATTGAAAAATAGAAAATTTGCTATCAAAAAAGTGGAATTGAAAGTACATATGTATTATATGATGGTTTAGGAGCATGTGGTTCAAATTTGGTAAAAAATTGTCTTAAAATGAAGAAGGAATTGAAGGAATAGGAAATCAGGACCAAATCAAAAAATTTGTCGAAATACTCAACCAAATTTTTGATTTTTCGAGTTACTCGAAATTTTAAAATTTAAACTCAACTCGAACTCGAAAACAAAATTGATAATTTCAATTGACTTGAATAACTCGAAATTGAAAAAAACTTGATTTTTTGATCGAGTCGAGTTTTGCTCACTCATAATATGAGTTGGACATTAATATATTAAAACACGATCCCAAAATCTCAAACTACTATCATATCTCAATTAGTATGTTAACGTTCAACTAAGACGACCGTCAATTTTTTTACTGAAAATGACGAGTTTGGAACATATGAATAGTCGAGTGACAAATTTGTAACTTTTAATACTAGAGGGACTCAACAAAACAAACATCATATAATCAAAGGACCATTTTTTAACTTTTAATAATTGAAAGACTCAACAAATAAACATTATATTATTGGAGGATCTACTCCCACATAGTTCAATCCTAACTTCACGCACATCCAACCTTATAGTTGGCGCCGCCTCACGGCAACTGTCTATCCCATTGCCCTTCTCTCCATTTTGCTGCCGTAGATGGTGAAGCTATTTCTCAACGATTCCCTGTTGCGTTGATTGACTGTAATTTGGTGCCACAAAATTCGTCGACTAGCTTGCTTTAACGTGACCAACTCACTCGGAAGTGAGGAAAAGGTGTTTTTGTGCACTGTTTCAACCTTTATCGAAGGTGAACAAACGATTTGACCACACAACCACATGTCCACAATTACATTGATAAGAGCTTCATCTTAATACATTCATTTAATGAACTATTAAAAGATAACTAGACTTACACCACATGAAACCATATTTTTTTAAAGTCCCTATTCTCTCTGTTTTTTAGCATTTGGCCCTCAACGTTTTATTTTAGGACAAAAAGTCCCTCATTGAATAGAAAATATTAGTTAACAAACTATTAATGCTCTAAAATAAGAGTATTTTTTATCCTAAAATGAAATATTGAGAGCTTAAATGCTCTAGAAAAAAATAATAGTCAAAGTGACTAATTAGTCAAACGTTAGGATTATTTTACCTTAAAATGAAATATTAGGAGTCAAAATACTCTACAGAATAAAATTAGGATCAAAATGATCATTTTAATAAATATTGAAGGCTAATTTTGACATTATACCTACAAAATTTATCTAACATAATTTGTATATATTTTTTAATTTAAAAATATAATACTATAAATATCTATAATCAATCTAAAAATATATCAACTATACTAATATAACTTTTTAAATATAATTTATATATAGCTTTATTTAAATTATATACTAATTCTTTTATATTTTGCGATGGCTATGGCCCACCCCTAGATACGTCCCTGATTGTATCCTTATTGATCTTATTACGTGTTCAAACTTATTCATTTTTACTTATGTTACCTATCATCTTTACTTTTATGAATTACGAGTATTATAGTAGACTAGAAGTGTACCATTAAATTTTGTAAAACTCAATGATTAGATGTCTCTGTTTATAAGTTAATAGTTTGTACTTGTTCAAGGACCATCGTAATAGGATTCCAACATTGTCGTATCTAAGAACTAATTACTTTAGAGGTATACGTATCCATAAGTCCCTTATTTGTGTATGTGGTCCGTAAACTTTATTGATATTGTATTATTTTAATTTACATCAACAAATATTGTATAACTGTCGTGATTGTCGTATTTTGGTAGGTCAACATTGTATATTTTTCTGGTCACATAACATGTATTTTGAACTATAACATAAAGGAATTTTAATTTAATGATTTCTTTAACAACCTAAATGTGACATTTTAGATAGATGATATAATAATTAGATTTGGACTGTTACAATGACTTTCATAAATAATTTTAAAATATGGTATACTTGGATAAATTAATCATTATTACATATTATAATGAATTGTTGTACGAATCAAGAGACTCTAATAATTAAGGGATTATCATTTATTTTAAATAAATACTAATTTATATCACCTAAATTAAAAATAATAATAATGAATTGTCTGTTATGTACGGAGGGCGGAATACAATTTCAGACCCTCCTTTACTGTTTTTATTTAAAAACAAATTAAATTCAAATTTAATTTTTATCAATTTTCTGTGGTTTGGGCTAGGTACTGGGTTTCGTCAATTTTGTTTAGCCGATACTCAAACGCCCATTATAACGAAAAGAAACGAGTTCATGATCCGGTCCAGCACATATAGGAATCGGGCCCTCAGTTAATCGAATTCGCATCCAATGGTTTCGGGATCGGTTTAGATCAAAGCAACCGGCGAGCGATTTAATAATTAATACTCCAGCTTCGAACATTTGGGAACGTTTCTGGTGATTTAGGGTTTGGCTACAGAGAGTGATAAGAGAGATGGGAGGAGGCCATGGAGGGAGTACAACTTACAAAGGTGTAACTTTGCATCACCCAAAGAGATGGCATGCCGTCACCGGCAAAGGCTTGTGCGCCGTCATGTGGTAATATTTTATTACTTTGAATTAATCTATAGTGATTTGTCATCAATCGGCATTTATCGAATGATTCTGTTGAGCTAAGACGTGTTGAATTGGTGAAATTTCAATTTCAATTTGAATAGTTGAATATAGAATTCATCGATATGCATTGAAAGTGAAATTTTAAGGGAACTGGGGGTTTTGCTGAAATTTTTGCAGTGAAGGCTTGAATTCGATCAAATTAATTGATTCTCAGAGGATCTTATGTCTTAGAATTTATCTTGTTTTTCTGGTTAGGTTGTTGTTCGAACCTTTTCATTAACGATCATGGGTATTGATGGTTGTGTGTTGCTTTTAATATTTTGTCACTATATTATCCTTCGGATTCATAGACGATGTAGTAAGTTAAGTTTCTCGCAAACAATAAATATTATACCGAAACGCTGGTGGATTTTCTTAAGTTTCTCGAAATCTGGCATGTTTCAGGTTCTGGATTTTGTACAGGGCTAAGCAAGATGGTCCTGTTGTATTGGTAAGAAGTTCCTCGTTTCAGCTGTCTTCATGATCAATCCTTATTAACTTGCTTTCAATCCTGGACTGACTTTGTCGCTCTTAGGGTTGGCGACACCCTTGGGAAGGCCATGACGATCATTAGGTACTGTTTTTCTTTTTATGTGACCTCTTGGCATGACTTGTTGAGTTTCGATTTTGCATGGTTTTGCATTTTTTATGAGAGGTTAATTGAAAACAACTAGAAGAGAGGTCATTTATTCTTTGATGCTTGAAAGCTTACTTTCTCCTGTACCATGAGTTATTATGAAACTCCAATTTGGTGTTACATTAAGATTTAGTGCTTTATGTCGAAATAACTTTAAGGCTTTATGGTCTGCTATACTGGGTTAATGTCATTTGCATGCGTATGCGTAAGCAAAAAAGGATCATCACTAGTACAATAATAGAGAAGAGATAAACTGAGGATTAGCATTGTTATTATCAAATATTCAAGTATTCCTCAATTAGGAAGTTAAAGTTCATCTCTTCTGACATTTAACGGCCATATCTTTTGTCAATCGGTTAGTAGGCCTTAGGAAGTTAAAATTCATCTCCTCCAACGATTAAGGTCATATCTTTTGTCACCTCATTTGTTTGTTGGAAATTATAATGTGCACATAGTTTGCTGCTTAACTCATCTAAGTGCGTGCTTAGGTAATATCTATATTCATGTTGTGGCATGAAAAAGAAAACTTTGTTTTCCATTGCAGTGATTATTGGCAATGTTTTAGCAGCAGCCGGTGGAAGAATATCGGATTATAGGTTGCTGTTGCAGATGCTGTTAAAAATGTCTAAAGTTCTTTAGTTTCAATAAAGTGATTGTGAAGAAAGATTGTAAGCATAATAAGATAAATAAACGGAACGTCATTTCAACATTGGGTTTTGTTGTTTCTAAGCATGGATTCTTGTTAATGTATGTGTTGCTTGTGCACTCCTATGCTCAGCAGAATTATTATTTGATGAATTTACAGTAGTGTTTTTTAACTTTACAAGTACGATTCAGTGGTCATAATCTGTTGTAGAGTGAAAATAGCATCATCGTCAATCTATTAAATAATTATCCTTGATAATTATAGGGTGAAGTATACAAATATATAGGGTAAAGTATACAAATAATCCCTCGACTATAGGATGATGTTTTGTTGAGTCCCCTAACTATTAAAAGTTACAAAGTGGTCCCCGATTATAGAATACTATTTTATCAAGTCCAATGACTATTAAAAATTACAAAATGATCAATTGACTATTAATATGTTCCAAACTTGTCTTTTTCTGTTAAAAAATAATAGCCGTATGAGTTGGGTGTTAACATAATGATTAGGATATGATATAATCATATTTTAATTATGTCTATTGGTGTCATTGTTATTTTCAAGCATTGGTTCGATGATATAAAGTTTCAAACACTTGTTCGATGTTACGCTATAAAGGAGTGTTGATACTCAAAATATAGCTCAAACGGTTCTGAGATCATTTTTTTATCATATCTCAGTTAATATGTTAATGTCTAACTCAAATGATCATAAATCTTTTAATGGAAAAGGATGATCTTAGAACATATGAATAATTGGTGATTATTTTGTAACTTTTAATAGTTGGAGATTCAACAAAACAACATCCTATAGTTGAAGAATCATTTATAACTTTTAAATAGTCGATGGATTCAATAAAGCAACATCCTATAATCGATGGACTATTTGTGTACTTTATCCATAATTATATATATAGTGCTTTTTATCTTGGGTAAATTATGAATTCCATCACTCAATTTTCTTCTCACTTATATTTTGGTCTGTAAAGTATAAAAAGATTAATATACTTGATTTTTTTATAAGCAAAAAGATTAATATTCTATCTTTAAATACTTAACAATGTATTATTGAACATTTTTTTATAAAAGTTATAAAGTGGTCTCAAAACTTTCTTTATTTTTTGTGAAAGAATCATTGGTTTCAAACTCCTTTTGATTTCTTGATGACGAGGCATCTTCTTTCAAAACCCAACGTTCGGGATATGGAGGAGGAAGCAAGTTGTATATCTTGATTCCACTTTAATCAAATAGAGGATATTATAGATCAAAGTGATTTAGGATTTTACGAGTTTTAGGTTTGGGGTTGAATTTTTTGTGTTTTAACGTGATTTTGATAAAAATTAAAATGATGAAGTGGTATGAGACGATGAGATGAGTTCGTCAATACCTTGAGTAGTCGAAGACAACGTCGTAGAATGGTAGTTGCAGTGTCGACGTGAGATAAGAATGAAATTGTAAATTGTAATATTTGAAGGAAGAATAAAATAAAAAAATGTTATGGATGACATTTGAATATCATGTCAATAAAAATCATTTCACATCAACATACAATTGTCATGTTACCCTTTTATTATTATTTAATCCTCAACTGATTGGAATAAAAGTAAATTAAAAGTTTAATGAGTAATTTTTTTTAATTTTAATGATCAAAATAAGAATGAAAAGAAAGTTTAGTGATGAAATTTATAGTTTAACCTATATTTCACTATGAGAGAAAGAATGATCAACATACATTGCATTTATTGAGTAACCCGGTACCATATTTATCCATAAATGTCATGTAGTTTTAAGACATGGATTACAATTTCACTATGAGAGAAATATTTAATTTCTTTAGATAAATGAAATCCTCTCAACAATATATAATGGTCAAATTTTATGAATATATAGAATGTTATTCTTTGTAGAGGTCTCGAGTTTGAACAGTTGCGTCTGCATGATGTGTGCGTGTCATCAATAGTTTATGAAAGTTCTGAACAAATATTACTTTGTAATCACTCTAGACTAATTTAAAAAATAATCAAATTTCATCATTAATCATTATATTAAGTCTAAGCTATTAATTAATTTTATATGCTTGAATTTGATTGATTGTAGTTTTATCGATGGATATAAATTAAATCTGCAATTTACATATAACAGAGATATTAATAATAAGGTTTAACAGTTAAATACCAATAATTAGGACTGCGATATCTTATTGAAAAAGAAGCAAAGAATACAGCAGCTTTTGGTTTATTCAAATACTAAACCAAATTAGCATAACAATTAATCAGTGAAGAATTTGCCAATTGAAAGTGAAAAAAATGAAAAAGTTATGTATATATAGTGTATGGTGATTAATTAGTTGGTAAATATGTTAAGAAGTAAAACTCTAGTCTGTATCAAACATCTGAACATACACTCTATCTCAGCTTCAAGATCCTCAATCGTTATTTCCACTGCCTGCAATCGTTTATTCGCGCCTTGAACCTCCAGTTCATCACTTATATCGTAAAACCTCCGGCAACTCGATCGCATGAACTTCGATCCAAAATACCCTTTACACGATTTTCGTTCCAGCCATGGAATCGAAACGAGGGGAAGAAGTGACTCCACAACGGAGATGGCAGTTACTCTCACTTCTTGTAACACATCTATAACCATCGACAAGTTATTGTCGATGGGTGTTACGATGTCGTTAGCTATAGGTTTGTTTTTCATCCCTTTTAGTGATTGCAAACACTTGAGAGTATCTTTCTTTAGCTTCTTCGAGTACTGGTTGTAAACCGATATCTTGGTTCTGATATCGGACTCGTCGGTGCTTACTCGACGCAAGGTGAATTGTAGGTTTTGAACGTGGTCCTTGACGAGCAAGAGAATGTCTCGGGAGATGCCGCATGCATCCAACATCCTCAGAGACGATTCGGACACTTGATGAACCCATTTCTCTTGACCCCGGTGAACGAGTGCTCGCTTGATTATCGGCGAGTGAAGGAGGTCGTTAGCGGAGTTATGTAAGTCCCTTAGAGCATCGAAATTCAGGTTCGCCATTGTCGAAAACAAAGAGGAGAATTCGAGTGAAGGGTTAGGGCTGATGAAGGGGCTATGGAAGGCCAATAACACATGAACCTGGCTTTATATTGACTCTGTTAAGGGCAACTTATCCTACATTAGATCTCAGATCCGTGGGAAAAGGCGTACGAAGTCTCCTTCAGAGTGCGGGCGTGGGACAATTGGTAACAGCTAAGGGACCAAATTTGTCTGCGGGAACCTTCCGCTGAAGATATCGAAAATGTTCTTTATATTATTCCTAAACTCGCACGGATATATATAAAATTTTATGTTAAAGATTAATATATAAAATTTTAGAAAGAACAAAAATATAAATAAAATATATAAAATTTTAGAAGATGTGATCACTCTGTTAATACCTCTCGATTTATCCCTATATATTCCGATATAACATTTCTAATATAGATATAATATATATATATTCGAGTTTGCGTTACATAAGATTTGGATGCCAGCTTGTGTTAAATTGTCAAAAGGCACAAGAGACAAGATGTTGCCGAAGTGATAATGTCTTTTGTTTGCTTCTTTTCTGGTAATCAACTGTGTGTGTTTTGTGTGAAGGCAACATTAAATCTGATATATAAATATTTTTTATATATATAAAGATTTCAACACTCTCGGTGGGGGAATTTCCAAGAAAGTTTTGTGAAGGTTACTTTATATATATTTATAAAAATATAAAAAGCTTATTGTAGTTTATTAACCAATAACCATAGTTTCTTGGCGATCTATCTAAACTCGTAAACCCCTGCTTCTGCATGCGCCATGCAAGACGACGACTCTTCATTTGTAAAAGATCGCATACGTCAATTAAGCCCTACAAATCGGAGAGCAAACTACTCCGAAATGGAAAAAGTCACGTACATCATCCGGCCATGAAAATTTAAATTTTCATATATTTAAGATATAATTTTATTGATAATTTACTTTTATCTTCTAGAATATTATAAATTTGCACGTAGTATAAAATCTCATGTCTATCCATAAGTCTACTCTTAAAAAAATTATCTTCAAAGACTCCCTTGAAGCCCTCTCAAAGACCATGACTCCTGCGCACTAATGCATGGTGAGTGGAGGTAATCGTCTCCCAAATATTTTTAAATTCTTTTATATTTTAGATTTTTTTTGTGTTTTTTTACTAATTATATGTTTTAACACCTAAATTTTTTTTAGTTTGTTTTCCCCTTTAAATTTTTTTAGTTTGTAGTATAAAAGATAAAGATGTATGGAGATCGCAAATAGTAGCATCTTTAAAGAGTGAGTATATTACAGATAACCTAACATAACAAGAAGATTAGAGATAAGAGCATTGGGGTACGCACTCCTCGACAACGTTTTACACAAAATTTCTTTATAGACCATTTGTTAAATATTTATAAGTGAAAAACAAATAATGTAAGATCAACGTAGAATAAGACACACGTAATAAGAGACAACATTATAATTTTTGTGAAAAATGTGTTTCATACCAAACATATGCAATTATCCCTAGACAACCTGCAAAATATTTGAATATGGACATCAACCCATGTCTATTTGCAAAATGGGGTGAGGGATAAATTTACTATGATCTTTTCCTCTCACATGGAAAAAGAAATATTTGGTGGTTGCATACTACTATTTTACAAAATGGATTGAAACTGATCCTATCGTTTTTGTTACATTTTGGAGCATGAAAAACTTCATATGGAAAATTTCCCTTTGCAGATTCGACTTACCCTAAGAAATAGTGGTAGACAATGACACATAATTTGTGGTTACTAAATACTCATCACCTCCTGAAAATTTTAAATTATCATATATCTTAGATATTTTTTATATTTTCTATTGATAATTTTTTTATCCCCTAAAATTTTATAAGTTCGTATTTCTCTAATATAAAATCATGTGTCCGTCTTTAACTACGGTCATTGTTATTAGTTGTCGTTAAGAAATAATGATGTGACATGTTAAATTCTCCTTCCTCAAAAAATATCATTATTTTTCAAATCGACAATCACCACAAAGATTAATTTTTCGATAGACAAAATGATCGTCAGTCAATCCCAACAATGAGAAGGTCATGCTTGATCAAAAGATTAATGAAGTTTAGTTTCAAGTTTATTGTACTGTTAACAATGATGAATTATAAAGTTTTAATTTTTAGTTTTGGATCATCACCTCTCCGTCGTCATTTCTATCACTATTTATGGTTTCTTTGATAAAAAATTCATCAATTACTCTTCTTTTTTCTTTCTTTTTTTATTTCAAATTGATCGAAAAATCTTTTAATCCCTTCAGATTTCAATCAAAATTAAACACTAAAACTTTTCAATATGCCACTATGAATCAATATGAGGATTTGAGTTCATCACATAATCAAGTCCAAAGTTAGGGATGCAATGTTTGAGAAGGAAAAGGTGACAAGTCACCAAGGCTCAATGGCTACACTTCATTTTTTTTCCAAATGTGCATGGTCTGTTGTTAAAGATGAACCTTTTTGCAGTAACTCAACATCTCTGTTACTTTGTGCCTTTAATAACAACCACTCTTGTCCTTGGGCCTAAAATTCAAGATTCTGAGCACGTGGCTAATTTTTGGCCCATACTTTGTTAGAGTTGTATAAGCTCTGGGTCAGTGGGCCTTGTTCAGCTTAATTCCTCGTTTGATTAAGGAATCATTCCCAAGTATAGATTTGTGGATTAGAAGAGTAAGATTATAATGAAAAGGAGCGGATAATACGATGAATACGTAGCCACAACCCCAGCAACAATGAAGTCCACGGCGTTGCTTAATCCAACACACTCAAATGAGAATCCTCAAAACTCAATTCCTCCACGCCATTTGATTTCATAACAAAAGACTATTAATACCATACCACTTGGCTGTAGGTGTAGTAACAGAAACCGATAGCTTAATCTCTGATATTTGCCATCAATGGCGAACTCATTGCTTTCTTCAAATTTCTTCGGTACCCAACTTTTACTCTCTCCCCCAACTACAAAAACCACTAGAAAATTGCAAGTAACTCGGTCTATCCTCAACAAGAAACAGACTGTCAAAACCCTTCAATCTCATGCCACTCTTGCTGCCTTACTGTTCTCTTCGGTTGCCCCACAAGCGCTCGCCGTTGATAACGCACCGCCTACACCTCCTCCGGTGATTGAAGCCCAGCCAACGAAGCCGAGCCCGTCGAACCAGTCACCCTTTGCGCAAAATCTCCTCTTGACTGCTCCCAAGCCTCAATCTCAATCCTCGGATCTTCCAGAAGGTAGCCAATGGAGGTACAGCGAATTCTTGAACGCGGTCAAGAAGGGGAAAGTGGAGAGGGTCAGATTTAGCAAAGACGGTTCTGCTCTCCAACTCACCGCCGTCGATGGCCGTAGAGCCACCGTGATTGTCCCTAATGACCCTGACCTCATCGACATATTGGCAATGAACGGCGTCGATATTTCGGTATCCGAGGGTGATTCCGGTAACGGGCTTTTCAATTTTATTGGGAATTTGCTTTTCCCTTTCCTTGCTTTCGCCGGATTGTTCTTCCTCTTCCGTCGGGCTCAAGGTGGTCCAGGTGGCCCCGGCGGGATTGGAGGACCCATGGATTTCGGACGATCCAAATCCAAGTTCCAGGAAGTGCCGGAGACTGGTGTTACCTTCGCTGATGTCGCCGGAGCTGACCAGGCAAAATTGGAACTCCAAGAGGTTGTCGATTTCTTGAAGAACCCAGACAAGTACACGACTTTAGGAGCTAAAATCCCGAAAGGGTGTTTATTAGTTGGCCCTCCTGGTACCGGAAAGACTCTATTGGCGAGAGCAGTAGCAGGAGAAGCCGGGGTACCGTTTTTCTCATGCGCTGCTTCAGAGTTTGTGGAGTTGTTCGTCGGTGTAGGTGCTTCCAGAGTAAGGGATTTATTCGATAAGGCGAAATCGAAGGCGCCTTGCATTGTATTCATTGATGAGATTGATGCTGTTGGGAGACAAAGAGGAGCTGGTCTTGGAGGTGGAAATGATGAGAGAGAGCAAACAATCAATCAGTTGTTGACTGAGATGGATGGGTTTTCGGGCAATTCAGGTGTCATTGTGTTGGCTGCAACTAACAGACCCGATGTTCTCGATGCCGCTTTGTTGCGGCCTGGTAGGTTTGACAGACAGGTTACAGTCGATAGACCTGATGTCGCTGGGAGAGTGAAGATTCTCCAGGTTAGTCATTTCAATGCATTTGGTATATTTTTGTAAGATGAATGCTTGCACTTGGAAAACAACGTTATAGTAGTAACGTTATAGCGAAGTTGCAATTCCGTTTCCATTAGAAAGTGAAATAGATTGTCATTAGCTTTCCTATTAAACTTGCCGGTATTGCAGCTTGTGGCGATATTTAATTTCTACTACATTGATTTTTCTCAAATATGGTGTTGCCTTCAATTTCATCGTTGAGTTGCTCATCCTTGAGCCTTTCATTGACACTAGGTGCACTCGAGAGGAAAGGCACTTGCGAAGGATGTTGACTTTGAAAAGATCTCGAGGAGGACCCCAGGTTTCACCGGAGCTGATTTGCAGAACCTGATGAATGAAGCTGCCATTCTTGCAGCAAGGCGTGAGCTTAAGGAAATAAGCAAAGATGAAATATCTGATGCTTTGGAGAGGATCATTGCTGGACCTGAGAAGAAAAATACTGTCGTCTCTGATGAGAAGAAAAAATTGGTTGCCTATCACGGTGCGCATTGGTTCCCCGGTTGCTGCTTTGCCTATGATTTGATACTGGGTATTTGACTTTCTGTATGCACTTCAATCCACAGAGGCCGGCCATGCTTTAGTTGGTGCACTTATGCCTGAATATGATCCCGTAGCCAAGATTTCTATCATCCCTCGCGGTCAAGCTGGCGGACTTACCTTTTTCGCTCCAAGTGAAGAGAGGCTTGAATCTGGCCTCTATAGCCGAAGCTACCTAGAGAACCAGATGGCCGTTGCACTTGGTGGAAGGTTAGTTTTCTCGAGTTTTA